GCGTTTTTTAAAGAAGCCAGATCGCGATCTGCTTTATTGGATCGCGATCTGGCGCGTTTTTCAAGGCTAGATATTTTAAATTGCAAAGCTTCTTGAGGAAGCTTTGCAATTTACTATAAATAGAAGCAAGCCCTCACTCTTCATTCTTCTTCGACTTTTTACGGTTTTCGACGGTTCTTCGCGGGAATCATCAACGGGGGTTCCGACTTGGGTTTTTCTTACGCAATTTCTTTACGTTTTGTTCTTCATTTCCTTTGTACATTCTTTTGATACTATGTTTGTTATGAACTAAGAACATTTTCTTCTAGGGTAATGAAGCCTTGTATATATTGATTTCGATCGTCATTTCTACTTTCTAATTGTCGTGTTTTGATTTCGTTTATGTTTTCCTGTATTAAATGCTTCTGATTGTGTTGATCAGCTCTCAGACTGATATTAAATAGGAATGAACTCGAGAGAGGATTTCTTGTTTGAAGTTAGGAAAACATAGCCCGGGGTGTGGAAACGGAGACGTGATGCACTTCGGGTAGCCCTTAAGGACTTGACCTAAATGCTCTCTTAATAGCAGGTTCTGAACGGAGACGTCGGACCTGTGGGTAGACTCTAGCTACACTGGAGACGGGGGTTAGAGTATATTAGCGTCTGGGTTAACGAATAGGAACGTGATTTTAGATGGTGGATTTGTCGATCGTTGTTGATTATACCTAGGTGGATTTGGCCCTAGAAGTCCCTTTTAAATCGAAGTCCCCCGCGTTGAGTTGTCGTTACTTTATTTTACGTACATTTTATATTTGCATGTTTACGTTCTTGCATGCTTTTAAATTAGGGTTTCTCACCAATCCACTTATTTACGATCGGCTAGATAATATAACGATAATATAATTACACTACTCAGCATTTGAATCTACAAGGTCCCTGTGGATCGATATCCGGAACCACTGTTCTGCAAAATGCGATACCGTATACTTGCGGTAATTTATACGTGAGGAAAACGCGTATCAGGCTCATTTGTATGCACCACAATCCAACTATTGTCATCTTTCTTCTCATTTTTCTTGCATTGTCGTCATCATTGTCATCATCGTCATAGTCATTTTTATCGGCATTTCCAATTTCGATGTCGTTGCCTTCATTCAAGTGATCATAAATCCAATATGGGAAATATTGGCTAGATTTGTTGTCATTATGCCTCGTACATCTATTTAGCCCTAACATTTCCATCAATAACATTCCAAAGCTATAAACATCGGCCTTGTAAGAAACACGACCAATGCTTCTATTCATCAGTTCAGGAGCCACATACCCTATTGTTCCCCTAACTGCAGTGAGAGTCACCGTTGTATTCTCCGTTGAATAAGACTTTGCGAGTCCAAAATCGGAGATTTTGGGTGTGAAATTATCATCTAGAAGTATGTTGTGAGGCTTTATGTCGAAATGTAGGATTTGGATGTTACATCCTATGTGCAAATATTCAATTCCACGAGCTACTCCAATTGCAATCTCAAACTTCCTCACCAAGCTAAGCCAATTACTCGTCTCTTTACTAAATAAGTACTTCTCGAGGGAGCCATTAGGCATGAAGTCATAGACAAGGGCGCGTTTGGATCTTTCTGCACAATATCCGACAAGTTTAACCACATTTACATGATGGATCCTTCCAATCGTCGCAACTTCATTGATGAATTCTTGCCCATTTGCTCTAGTCTTGTTGAGTAGTTTGACGGCTACATCATGGCCGCTTCGAAGTTTCCCTTTGTAAACCGAACCACAACCCCCTTCGCCTAGTTTTTCACGAAAACCTCTTGTCATTTTTCTTATGTCTGAGTAGGAATATCGAATTGTTGTCAGACTTGTGTTACTTTGCAGGAACGCTTCTATTGTACTAAACAATGACAAATGCCTTTTTCGAAATTTAATGATCAGAAGCACAAACAAGGAAGGCAATCCAATTAAGATCCTCAGTCCTAGGTAGGTCGTAAGTACGAAAGCTGAAAGAAGTATAATAAGACAACAATCATTAATACAAGTGAAGGACTCAAAGATATTACCGAAATATATATATATATATATATATATATATATATATATATATATATATGGGGTCATTACAAATAAGCCCATCAATGGATACTTATTCATAAAGAGATCCAGATAAAAAACTCATTTACCAATAAGTCCACACATGGTCCAGATTTTTGTAAATGACTAAAATAGGCCCTCATACTTTAATATGCTCCAATTTCATCATTAACTTAATTTAACTTCAATTTGACCCCAAAATTTACTAATTATTAAATTTTGACCCAAAACTTTTTTTTTTTCAAAAAAAAACAAAATTTTCAAAAAAAAAATTCCCGCCGGATTCCGGCGTTGACTTTTTTTTTTTTTCTTTTCTTCCGGATTTTTTCGCCGGTCTCCGGCGTTGACTTTTTCGATTTTTTATTTATTTATTTTTCTTTTTGTAACATTTTTTTTCGTTTAAACAGCAATATTACTGTGATTGACAGTAATATTAACTATATTACTGTTAAATTAAACACAGTAAAATTAACTAAACTACAGTTTAACACAGTAATATTGCTATATTAATTTCTAGCACAGTAATATTAACACAACAAAACTCATTATTATTGTGTAATAGAGTAATATTACTATGTTGACCATTCAACAAATGTAAACATAATAAAAAGCCAAAAGAACTAATATTACTGTGTGTGACAGTAATATTACAATAACAACAGTAATATTACCGTCAACCACATAATATTACATTAATAGACAATAATATTATTACGTTACTCCGTGAATAACTCAAACAAACAAAAAAATCCAAACAAAATAATAATATTGATGTAGTTGACATCAATATTACTATAACAACAGTAATATTACCGTCAACCACAGTAATATTATTGTGTTTACACTAATATTACAGTAATAGACAGTAATATTATTACGTTACTCCGTGAATAACTCAAACAAAACAAAAAACCCAAAAAAATAATAATATTGATGTTGTTGACAGTAATATTATTGTGTTTACAGTTATTTTACTGTCAACAACAGTAATATAATTACGTTGACTTGTCAACAAATCAAACAAAAAAAAAAACAAAAAAAAAAATAATAATAATATTACATTAATTTACTGTCAACGGCAGCACAATTACATAAATGTATTGTCAACGGCAGTACAATTACGTTAATTAACTGTCATTACAGTATAATTACATTAATTTATTGTCAGTGACAGCACAATTACGGTCAACGTTTAGCGGCGGACGTAAAAAAAATAAAATAATAAATGAATAAAAAAAAATAAAAAAAAAACTCCAAAAAACACTAAAAAAAAGTCAACGCCGGAAACCGGCGAAACAATCTGGAAGAAAAAAAAAAGTCGACGCCGGAGACCGGCGAAAAAATCCGGAAGAAAAAAAAAATCGAAAAGTCAACGCCGGAATCCGGCGGCAAAAAAAAAAATTGAAAAAAAAATGTTTTTGAAGAAAAAAAGTCAAAATTGAATTTTTGTGGTCAAAATTGAATTTTAGTGGACAAAATTGATTAAATTGAGGTTATAATTAAGAATTGGGCATAAAGGGTTGGGGGTAATATTGGCATATACATGAATGTTTCCTTTACTTATAATAAATGTTAAAGGGATGGGCTTATTGGTGAAAGAAATATAGTCCCTAAACCTAGAATAATAAACATGCTTGGTTGGGTACCTATGCACAAAAATACCTATATATATAATTGGTAGAGAGTAATTAAATATAGGGGTAATATGCTAGAAGTCCCTCGTAAGAAACCTAATTTAAACTAAATGACAAATCTAAATCCAATTTTTTAATTAAATCCTTAGATTGAAATAATATATGACCCACATCCTTAATTTTTTTTTAATCCCTATCTTGCCCTTACACCCTAAATCTTATAACCCACATATTCACGATTCTTCTCAGATCTATTTTTCCTTTTTATTCTTCTTCTCTCTCGTTCTTTCTGTCTCGCTCTCTCTCTCTCTCTCGGGCTTTCTCTGTCTCGCTCTCTCTTTTATGTCTCTCAATCTCAAGATATCTCTCTCGCCACACTCCTTTCCATGATTTGAGAGGGGATGGTGGCTGTGATGATGGAATCGACATGGTGTTGGAGGCGGTGGCACGGGGGGAGGGATGGTGATGGCGGCGGCGACGGCAGCTATGAGGCGGTGGCGACGGCGGCTCTAGGGGCGGCGGCGATGGCGGCTCTGGGGGCAGCAACAGCGGTGAGCGGCGTTGGTCATGAGGGCAGCGGCGGGGGGCGGCGCTCAGGGGCTAGGGGATGGTGTAGGTGGTGCTCGACGTTGTGGGGGGTAATGGCAGCGTGGGTGGGCCGTGGTTTCGTGGCATCTTTAGCGGCGTGGTGATGTTAGCGTCACAGGTCTAGGGTTTGGTGGAGGAGATTTACGGTTTGGTGGGACAGATCTAAGGGTGATGGTTATGGTGGATGTGGCCTTTGGAGATGGTGGTGTGAGGTTAGATCGATGGTGGGAGGCGGTTGCATCAATCTAGATTTTTTGACGACGCTAGGGTTTTGGTTGACGGCTAGGGTTGGTGAATAATAATTGGCGACGGCTGTGATTTCTTTGCTGCTAGGGTTTGCCGATGGGTGGGATTGTGTTTTGATGCTAGGGTTTGGAATATTACGCCGTAGTAAACTATAGTATACCGTAAGTCCGTAGTAAACCATAGTATACCGTAGGTCCGTAGTAAACCATAGTACACCGTAGTAAACTATAGTTCACCGTAAACCATAGTACATCGTAGTATATCATAGTACACCAAAGTCTACTACAATATTATTAACAACATATAAAAATAAAAAAAAAATATTTAAATTTAATTAAAAAAATTGTTTTTTTTGATAATTTCTATATTATAAAGAAAAAAAGATTTTGTTTTGTTTTATAATAGTGTAAAAAATGATTAAATGAAGAAAGAGAAAACAAAAAAAAAAAAAGGAAAACGTGTTTTTTGTAAAAAAAAATTAAAATATTAGATGGAAAAATGAAAATATTACAGGCTAAAAAGATGTTAAATGCAATTTAAATTTTAATTAATGCATATTTCGAATTTGTTAGTGAGGGGCATTTTTTGAATGAAATTTACAAAGGATGTGTAGCAAAGATTTAGTTAAGCTTGTCATTTAGTTCAAATAAGTTTTCTCACTAGGGACCTATATCTTAAGGCCCCTTAAATATAAACTGCTGCAGTTTTCTTAAAATATGTAGACATTTAAAATACTATATAGTATAAAGTAATTAGAAAAGTGTCCCGTGCAACACACATACACTATCTAGTACATTAAGTTCGTGAATCAATAATCTCATGTAAAGTAAACTTGTACTTAAAATATTCTCTTTAGATATTTAATATTAAAAAATGGGAAAAAACAGTTTTCGTCCATGAACATTTAGTTCCCATGTTCACAAAAAATACATTTGGTCCCTCATGTTTCAAAAGTTCAACACTTTTAATCATTTCAGTCAAATTTTCTTTAGCACCAATGGAATTAAGTGTGTGCCTTTCACTCACTTAGCTAATGGACTAATGGTAAATTGACGGAAATTGCCAAAAGTGTTTTCCTTTGCTACAGAAGTGCGAGGAATACGAAGAAACACCACAAACAAGATAGCAATGACAAACAAAAAAACAACGTTCATCTATGACGTTTTCCGTCACGATAGAACTGAGCAAAAGATGGAGAAATACCAAACAAACCAACAGTATCTCTCTGATACCATATTACAATACTTGGAAAAGTTTCACGATTAAATTTAATTTGAGCATTATCATCTATTGAGCATTATCAGTCTTCTTATTCCACAATTCACATCAGAGATTCCACTAAGGAATCTACCAACACCACCAAAGTACCACAGTAAACCTTGTTTCACCTAGACACGGCCATGGGCCGGTTTACTCCGGTTCGCGGTTCACTTTATTCGAAACCGGAATCGGGCCCGTACTATACATGGTTCGGCGAGCCGGGCCGGCCCGCCGGTTCACTCCGATTCCGGGCCGGCACACACACACACACACCTATATATATATATATATATATATATATATATATATATATATATATATATATATATATGAGAAATACAATATAATATATCGTTTCAACTTATTTTTAAAAATTTTAAATTTTATTTGTTCCAAGTTTTGTGGTAAAACTAAATAGTGCAAGAACAATAGTATGTATATAATATATTCAAATTGGTTTAGTGTATAAAATAATACTAATGGAAAAAAAAAACAATATTTCTTAGTGTTTTAGGCAAAATATGGGATTCCCGATCCCAATCCCGAATCCCCGAAATATTTAGGGATACCGATATTATCGGGATTTAATAGTATGGGACGGGATTGGGATTTAAAATTTCTATCCCGAATCCCGAAATCCCGATCCCGAAAATCCCGAATTCCCGAAATCCCGTCCCGAACTCACCCCTATGTGAGGGTATTTATAGGAAAAAATGGGGGGGGGGGGTAGGGATTCAAAAAATAACAAATAACGGCCGATTCACCGGGCCGGTTCACTAGGCCGCTTCACCGGGCCGCTTCAGCTTTTTTAAGCTTTTTTCAACTTTTTTTAAGGGGTCATTACAAATAAGTCCATCAATGGGTACTTATTTCAAAAAGAGATCCAGACAAAAAACTCATTTACAAATAAGTCCACACATGGTCCAGATTTTTGTAAAAGACTAAAATAGCCCCTCATACTTTAATATGCTTCAATTTCATCCTTAACTTAATTTAACCTCAATTTGACAAATTT